TAACAAAACTCTTAATACTGTTGTTAGTATGCCCTCAAGTGGTGAATATTGGTTCATATTCAGAATCTTGTTTAGTAGTTGATATTTTCACAGAGTCATCTCTTCCATAAATGAAAGTACAAAAACTAAATTCTATAGAGTTGTCATGTCAATAAAATTACAGTGGAAATTATTAAAAACAAAAACAAAACTGATGTGCAAAAACTTCTTTTAACATTTTTATTCACAAACATTGAAATGTAACATATTGGTCAGTAGTAAACACCCCCAGCCTTCCCACACCCTGGGCGAATGCCCCACAGACTCAATCTCAATGGGGAGACCAAAGCCACAGTACTCTGGGTGAGTGTACCATACACTGTAAAATCTGTATTAGGAGCCACATCACTAATAGAAGTCATACTTATTCTTTTTGAACAATTGAGAACCAACAATGCATCATTTCTCATATGTGTAGATGCTCTAATAGAAGCGCATTCCTTCTGTTGCGTTGTACTATTTAAATAGAATCTGTGGCTGCTAATACAGATACAGGGCAAAACCACAGTACCCTAGATGAGTGTGCCACAGGCGCAATGGGGAGGTCATAACCACTGTATCCAGGGTCGGTGTGCTGGTGATCATTACTGGTTCATGATGGAGAGCATCCAGTACTGGACCAGAATGATTATGCTTAGTACTTGATCGATAAAATCCGTCTCCAGTAGCAATCCAAAATATGGTCTAGTACTGAACTGTTATTTCAAGAATAAGTGTTATTAATTTTCCCTTCAATAACTTTTACTAAACAGCTGTGACATTATTAAATCCATCTATAACTTAACTTTTGCATTGTGGGTTATGGCGCTATTGTGTTAATTCTGGTCCAGAGCTGGTCCAGTACTGCACTGGATCTTAGCAGATGCTTTCCAGTGACAGTGACGGACCAGTTAACGATGGTCGACTATGGAGAGGAGCCTGATTTTTATCCATAACTGGTCCAGTATTGAAGAATTCATGCGTATGAAATGTGGTGTTCAGTACATTTGCAACTAAAATACGGTAATTTAAGAAACCACTGAGTCAAATACAATATCAGCATTGTCGTTAAGTTGCTTTATAAAATACCAGTAATAAACTGAACACCTTTTTTGTCCCTGTTCAAACGTAGTCTGAAAACGGATATTTATAATTTCACCTCTGTGTGCTCATCCGTCCACACCTGTATCTCAGACATGCGTAGGTTGATTTTATTCAAACTTCACACACACATCATATCATACATATGCATGTGTTTCATGATCCAATTCAAGATGACCTATTGATGGCCATTTTAGTGCTTATAATTCAAGCATTTTTGCCGTTCCGGAACCAGATCTCAGTCATGTATTGACATATACTTCATTCAAACTTGGTATGTCCATTGAACATAATGGGTTCTTGATGCACATCAGTTTTTTAGCTCCGCTGTCGAGCGGTGCTTATCATATTCTTGTCAACTTTTCACTTTTTCGACTTCTTCTTGAAAACTACAAGCCTGAATGCTTTGATACTTGGTGTACATGTTCCTTGGGTGGACCTCTCTTAGATTTGTTCATTTCATGATTATCTCTTCAATTCTCTAATTTTGGTGAATATTTTTGTCATTTTTGGTAAAAAGTGATATTTTCGACCTCTTGTAAAAAAACACAAGTTTGATTGCTTTGATTTTACATATATAGGTACTACATGTGGACCTCTCTCAGATTTGTTTATTTCGTTATGATATCTTTAATTCTCTAATTTTGGTAAATATTTTTGTCATTTTTGGTAAAAAGTGATATTTTCGACTTCTTGTTAAAAACGACAGGTCCAATTGCTTTGATATTACATATATAGATACTACATATGGACCACTCTCAAATTTGTTCATTTCATGATGATATCTTCAATTCTCTAATTTTGATGAATATTTTTGTCATTTTTTGGTAAAAAGTGATATTTTCTTCTTGTTAAAAACCACAATCATTTATGGTTAAAAATTATAATTTTGAATTCTTGTTGAAAACAGCAAGTCCCATTGCATTGATGCTATGCATATTGTTCATTTTCTAATGATATCTTCTGTTCTTTAATTGAAATATGCATTGCTAGCAGCGGAGCAATCTCAGCCGAGAGGCTGCTTGTTTTTTTTAGATCAGATTGAAAATGGCTGACTGGTGGCCATTTTGTTTTCAACAAATACTGTTTTTGGAGCCATTTTACTAATATGGCTGTACTGACACATTTGCACATGCATTTGTTTCAGAATCTGATTCAAAATGGCGATCGTCATTTTCATGTTAGAAATGCATTATGAATGTTATGGACCTAAAAAAGCTGCCTCCACTTTGTCACACAAGTGTAAATAATTATTTGTCTTTTATATTGACAGTCACTGAAAACTGAACTGGGACATGTCGCTGACAATGACTTGTTTCTCAATAAACGGAACACTTTCTCAATAAACAGAATAATGTTGTCAATATTCTCTATAGTTTTAATTTTTTAACAAAAAATATTGCTATCATTCGGAAATGTTTATCTGTACATAGCATTGCATGTTATGTGTCTGTACTGTTATTCCCTTACCTAATCATGCCTCCAGAGGGCAGTGTATACTTCTACCAGTCATAGAAAAAAAAATCTATGCTTGGAACAGTTGAGCACCTGATGCGTTAGGCTTGATAAGCAGCGCCCTCAAACAACCAATATCAGAAAAATGATCAGCACTGTCAATCAATGTAATTGAAATTGACATGGTTCTTTGAAACTATCTGAAATGTTAATGAACTGAATTTAATCTATTAGGGGTTTCCACGTTAGATAATAGATTCGAAAGCTGAGCAAATCGCCTTTACAATTATGTCAATAGAGTATGTCATATCCCAACACTGCCAGAATTGCGCACTATAATTCAACCTCACATGAAAGTATAAATGCCAGTGTCAAAATTTTATTAGAATTAGTGTGTGACCACCTGTCTATAGTTTAAACTTGTAAATAGTCGACTATTATGCACAAATTTTGCGTGATATTGATCAGTTTAAGAGCGTGGCCCTGTATTTTAATTATTAAGAAGTGGATGAGGAAAAATAATTAATGGCCTATTGTCTTAATGTAAAGGGAATGCTGTAAAATAAAATCAATGTCCATTAGTGTGTCTGATTTTATTAATCTATTAAAGGGAGTTTATTAATTTTAACTGTTGGCCACATGTGGTCTAGTTTCCATGGTCTAATGTGCTGTTGTGTTGCTTGTGTGTGTGTGTGTGTGTGTGTGTGCGTGTGTATGAACGGTTGATTGAATGGCATCTGATTTGCTCTGTGTGTGTTTTTCTCCCAATGATTTTGTTACTCAATAAGGATTGTATCCAGCCAATTAAGTGACAAAATATGAGCAGCGTTTATTTTTTTTTTTTTGTATGGAAGTAAAGATCTGAAGAATGATGGTACTTTGAAAGTCATTTTGAAGTCAGTATTGTCTGGTTTGTGGGTTTTCAAAAGGAACATGGAAATTACTTCTGGTTTGGTTATTAGGTTTTAGCGTCATTAATGACATAATATATTGCTGATGAAAAAAAAAAATGCGTCAGTGCCTTACTTGTTTTCAGACTCGTTTTCTTGAGTATTGAATTGATTCATAAAATTGACTCATATTTTTTTTTAAGATTTCTATATATTAATATATATTTTTAGACAATAACAATAAAGTTGGTTTTCCAAAGTATAATCTTCTCGTATTAACCTACTATTGAATGGAGAGCTACGTGATAGTAAAATATTTGATGTTTTTTTTTTTCTGCTACGCATTCATTTCCTTAATCATGCTTAAACTCCACACTGGGGGCATGTCCGTATCCTCACTTAACTCATTCCTTGGGAATAGGGAACATTGTAACAATAGCGCGCATTATCTGCAATGTAAACGTACATTCCGGCATGTCATATCGTGGCGTAGATTGCTGCCATTGTTGGCAGTCCCTGAAAGCGCACTAAATGGAAACATTTGATTCATCCAGGAATTACTGTGGACATGTTGCTCGCTACTCTCGTGACTCATTATGTCAACTCTAGTTGCACCTGCTCTTGCCGAGGAGGGGAAGCCGTCCATCGTTAGAAAATTAGCGTGTAATTCACACTTAAGTCGTCAAGAAAAAAAAAAAAGCTTCACGTGTTTAGTTGTAGAAAGCATAAATTGAGTTCAAAGTTTGCTTACGTTTCAGAATCTCAGAAAAACAAATTACCTAGTTCGGTTTTGAGTGCAGGTGTTATTGTGCTATAGAGTATCTTTTCTTTTTTCAAATTTATTTTCCTACTTACTAACCACTCTGATTATTTACCGTTTACTGGCAACAGTGTCTTTCCTACGTTTTGGCTTTTAGCTTTTCATCAGCTACCTAACGTACATTTCATAGATTATTTTTCACCCGATTTCAGCAGAAACAAATTTAATATTTTCAATATCCCATGTGTCTTAT